AAAAAAAAAAAAAAAAAAAAAAAAAAAAAAAAAAAAAAAAAAAAATCCCTTTAGTGGCTGATGAGTGGAGGATGGATTGTAGATTATTGTCTGAGGAGCATTCTTTATTCACTTGGCTTTTCCTGTGGAAGATATGAATTAACCTATTATTGCTATTAATTATTATATAGGGCATCCCAAAAGTTTTAGTGCAGTTCAAAGTTTACTCATACATCATGATATTCCTGTTGTTGAGTCACTTCAGTCATATCTGACTCTTCATGACCCATTTGGGGTTTTTCTTGGCAGGAATGGTTTGTCTTTTCCTTCTCCAGCTCATTTGACAGATGAGGAAACTGAGGCAAACAGGGTTAAGTGACTAGCCCAGGGTCACACAGCTAGTAAGTGTCTGAGGTCAGATTTGAACTTAGGAAGAGGAGTCTTCCTGATTCCAAGCCCAGAGCCCTTTTCTTATTATAGTATATATTCATGCCTTGGGAAACCCAGCAAGTCGATGAAATGTGGGGACAGAGACTGGACCTCTGATTTCACTGGCTTAGGGAGCTTTCAGGGAGGAGCTTCCTCTTTAGGTGTGTGCTGGCACCTTCTCTGCAACTTTCAGAGCACTCAGAGGTTAAGTGACTTGTCCCAGGTCACCCAGCTAGTGCAGGGTGGAGGTAGAGCTTGAACCCAGCTGGTCCAGCTCTTAACCAACCGCCCTCCCATGATGTACAGAGCTGTGGTAATGTTATTCAAATCCAGAGGCTCATCCTGAAAATTTAACAATTGACTCTTATGAGCCTGTTCTTGCTGCCTCCAAAACATCCCTGACTCTACAACCGTGGGACATTTCCCTTGTCTTTGTAGCTCTTCTCTTTGTAATTTGCAATAGCTGTTCTATTCCACAGGAACACATGAACTCTTTTTCCTCTTTTCAGTTATATCCTGAGGATTTATTTCCAAGGATGTGTTATAGCATCAAAGGACATGGTTGGCTTTATAAAACTCTACTCATGTACTTCTGAGATAGAATGGTGCCTTGTAGGGAGTAGCCATTTCCTTAACAAATATTTGTTAAATTGAATTCAATTTGTAGAGAAGTGATTCCAACTTTCAGTTCTACCAATAATGTATGAGCATACCTTTTTCTTCTCACCCCAAATTTTGCTCCTATTTTTTAAAGCCAACTTGATGTGTGCAAAATGTGGCACCTCAAGTTGGTTTAAATTTGCACTTCTTTTATATTAGTGTGACTGAATGCTTTTTAAAATACATATTTGCATCTCGCATCCTTGCTTTTGTGAATTGTCTGACCCTGTTCTTTGGCCATCTATAGTTCCTATAGTAAATGCATTGGGGCCCTTGGTTCCCTCTGTTCTTGTCTTACTCCCTGCTCAGCTGGTGCTCCCAAGACAAGGGAGGACCCTCGAGGAAATTGGTACTTGGTCAAGGTTTCTCAGAGATGAAACCACAACGTCCTGATTACCTGCCCAATTTCAGGGCTGTCTTCAAGGTCCTGTGTCTCAACCCATTCCCCTCTGCCTCCTCCGCAGCATCCGCTCTTCTGACAACAAGCAGGTGAACAGCCTGATGCAGACAGAGGAGACCCCCCCCATACTGGAAGGCCAGCAGCAAGTGACTGAGGGCCGGGCCTATGACAATGAGCAGGACGGCGTCTCCTACAGCTACTCCTTTTTCCACTTCTGCCTCTTCCTCGCCTCCCTCTACATCATGATGACACTCACCAACTGGTACAGGTGAGTGCTTCCCTGGAAGCCGGTGGTCTGGCTTTTCCCCCTCCCTATCCCCTCAGGGGCTGTAGAGCAAGGTTGTTGTCTGTCCTTCATTCTCTGAGAGGACCGTGACATCAGGCAGGTGATGCCATGATGTGCAAGTGAATTGGATTTAAGTGAGGCAGGGCTGTGCAGAGTCATCAGCCTCACTGTCTCCTCCGGAGCCATCTGGGTCCAGGGGCCGGGTATGGATCAGGACGACTGGACATGGCCCTCTGTAGAGGCAGGAGAGGAGTAGGAAAGCCCTCCTCCTCGCCCAGCTCAGGGGGTACCATACCCTGGATGGTAGTAAGAAGAAGAATAGCCCACATCTATATAGTGCCTGAAGGTTTGGGAAGCATCCCACACACATTATCTGATTTGATCCTTACAACAGCCCTCTGAGGGAGGTGCTATTTTTATCCCCATTTAACAAAAGAGAAAGCAAAGGCAGACTGAGGTTAAGTGACTTATCTAGGTGTCTCACAGCTAGTGAATGTCTGGGGCAGGATTTGAACTCGGATCTTCCTGATTCCAGGTCCAGCTCAGCATGGCACTATGGCACCTAGCCAGGCACCCGGGATGGAAGGTGGTTTACACAGCCTCAGGCTACTAGATCTGGTGGTGTCCAGCCTAGGTTGAGAGGGCAGAATGAAGGCTAGTGGGAAAAGGCTGTGGGCACACTCCCAGGGCTGTTGTGAGAACCAATAGAGATAATATTTGTAAAGCTCTTTGCAAACTTTAAAGTGCTCTAGAAATGCAAGCTGGCTTAGGTAGAGGTGATTCAACTGCACTGAGACTTTGGGGAGCCCTTAGTGGAGGGGTAGGGAGCCACACCTACTATGCCCACCTGCCACTGGTGCTTTCAGCCCCAAGATGAGGGGCTGGCAACTTTTCTGCACCTTTGAGGCAAGAGCTCTTTTCCACTTTGTCCATGACTATCCGGCCATCCATTTCTCTATAGTCTCCCCCTTCTCTGCATTGCATCTTAGGACCTCTGTCTTCCACTCTTAGAGTTCTGTCAGGTGTTGCAGTCCACAGTCTATTCCTTCATTATATAACAAGGGATTTTCGAGACCAGGCTGGGGCCTACTGGAGTTTCAGGAATTTTGGGGTCAAGGGGTAGAGAGTTAAGATTTGTGCTGAAAAGGGTGCCTCTTTTTCCAGACCAGATGATGTCACCAGGAAGATGGTCAGCACCTGGACCGCAGTCTGGGTGAAGATCTGTGCCAGCTGGGCGGGGCTGTTCCTCTATTTATGGACCCTGGTTGCCCCACTTCTCTTGCCCAACCGAGACTTCAGCTGAGACCAGTTGAGATCCCAGCACCGCTACTGCCTGACCAAAGATGCCTTGTTGCCCAGGGACAGAGGACATCAGTCCCTATTTGAGTCTGGCTCCCACAATCTTCCCCTGCCCCTCACCTCCCCTAGACCTTCTGTGATGCAACTACTCATCCTGCCCTTCTCCCCACTCTTCCCTAAAGCCAGTGGGGAAAGAGGGAGGCAGGGAAAGCATCCTGAAGGCCAGAGGCCATTGGACTAGATGACTTCTAAGTACCCCTTCATCTGTAACCCTCTGTGAGTGAGCCTGTGAGCATCCCTATCTGTGGTTGAGGTTGGAACTCAGCCCCTTTCTTCTTGGTGCCTTTGGGGCTTGGGTGGGACTCGGAGGGGCCAGGGTGTGGGTTATGGGGGCATGCCACTGCCTGGAGCCACACACGACTGTTCCTCTTGTCACCTCCTGCTTGCTCTTCCTCCTACCCCCCACACCTCTAACTCCACCCTATATCCCTCGATTACGTAACTTTCAACTCTACTCCAGTATGGGTGTCCTCCCTCAGAGTGGGGACAGGACAGGACAAGCTTGAGTCTTCTCAGTTTTACCGCCCAGCAGGGTGGTTCAAGGAGGCCACCGTTCCTTTCTTCCTCTTTTCCATTTCTGGGCTCTGTGTCTTTTAGAAACCCTTCCATTTAAACATTTCTAAGAACAATACAGTAATAAACATCCAGTGGGTTTGCCTTCCTGAGCTCCCTTCCTCTGCCCATCTCTTTGGACTCCTGGGCTTGTGCATTTTTTGCTCGATGGGGCCATGTCTAGCTGGCTCCCCAGCTCTCTGCCTGCCTCATGTCCCAACCAGCCTAAAGCCTCAGGGAACTGGAGCTGTCCTCCCTACAGTCCTGTCAAGCTGTGCCCCTGATAAAAGAGAAGTAGAGGCCCTCAGCTTCCTAAGGATAGCTGCAACTGAGCCGAGAATCTGCCCTGATAATCAGGGACTCCTGGTCCTGGATCAATCCTTCCATGCCAGTAGCCTGCTAGAACTCAGGGGGCTAGTCTTGGAAAGGGGAACTTTACACCCGAACATCTCTGCTGTTCTTTCTAGGGCTCTTAGGGTGGGAAGCAGAGGGATCCAACCAAACGTAGCTTCTCATTCGAATTCCTGGGTTAGACACTCTCCATCTTCCACAGGAGAAAGAGAGAGCCCGGAATGAGAAAATAGCTAGATACCATAAGTAGATAGTCAGTTGCCACTAGGGAGATGTAGAAAGGCACCCTCACCGATGGGGAACCCTGGGTGTGATGGGGAAAGTAGGACCTTTTTGAAACAACCCATAAGAAGACTTGGCTTCCCTGCTAACTCTACTAATGGATCATCTCCACTTGGGACCTCAGTTTCACCTTCTGTAAGAGACCTGGGCCAGCATTCACTCTTCTGGCCTGAGGAGGGATGTACCCAGATATTTAATAACTATCTGTTCAATTCCATTATTACTGTGGCATTAAAAAAAAATCATCACTAACTTGCTGTGTGACTCTAGGCAAGTCACTTCTCCCTGGGCCTCTGTTTGCTCACCTGTAAAAAGGGGATAATGCCTCACAGGACTGTTGTGATCTTCAAGTGAGAAATAATGCATATGAAGACCCTCTGTCTTAAACAGGGATTATTTTTAACATGATTACTGAGGACACCTACCCTAGGGTCCCATGCAAGACACTGGGGCCAATATACAATATCAGCCCTTAAGCATTTTACAGTCCAGTTGAGACAAAGCTTCCATATACTATGTGTGTGAGGGTTGAATTAAACATTAAGTACCTGCCCTCAAGAAGCTTACATTCTACTGGAGGGAAACAATATGTGTACAGAGAAGTAAATACAATGTAATTTCAATTGGGATCGGGTTCTGACCACTGGGGAGAGGAAGAAGCATCAGAAAGATCCAGGCGTAGGAGATGGGTGCCGAGCTATGCATGTGCATGTCCTGTGAGGGAGGGAGGTGGAGGGATGGCTTGTGTGGTTCGGGGTGGGAAGGTGCAGGGTCATGTACTGGAAAGCATGCTGGGTTTAGAGTCTGTAAATAGGTTTGAATCTTGGCTCTGCTATTTCCTGTGGGGTCATACGTGAGTCTCTCTTTGGACCTTGGACTTATTGATTCTACATTTGACTCTGCCGGCACCTTCTTTTACCTGGGTTTTCAGAGCACTTTCTCCTGCCTCTCACTGAGGTCTTTCAGCACTCTGAGCCGCAGTCCTCACTTGTAAAATGAAAGAGTTGTAATAGAGAGATGGCCGTGAGAAGCATTTAATTTTTTTCATTCATTCATCCATAGGTCCATTTGAGCTCTAAAGCTATGATCCTATAAATCCGATTGGCTGTTGGCTGTTACCCAGTCTCCTTTGCTTCCCCCCATGGGTCGGTTCATTCCTAGACCCCTTTCCTTTTCTACTCTTTCGGTGATCTCATCAGTTCAACTATCATTTCTACGCTTAGATGATTGCCAGACCTCTATATCCAGTCCTTGTCTTCTAAGATCCAGCCCAACATCACCAGCTGCCTATTGGACATTTCCCAGTGGAGATCCTGTAGACGTCGCAAACCACCTGTCCCAAACTACTCATTACCTTTCCCCAAGATCCTTCCCTTGTCCAAACTGCCCATCTTTGTGGAAGTTGCCACCATCCTTCCAATCCCAACTAACGAACTGTCCTTGACTTTCCTCTCCCTTACCCCACATAATCCAAATACTTGCCAATTCTTATTGATTCCATCTCCACAACACCACATCCGAGTCACAACCTTAGTCCAAAGCCTTCGGCACTTCTCCCCTGGACTATTGCCCCATCTTCCCAGTTGGTTTTCTTACCTCCAGAGTTTCCGTCCTCTTTTCAGCTGCCAAAGTGATATCCCTAAAACCCAGGTCTGACCATGTTACTCTGCTGCTCAAGAAGCTCCAGTGACTCCCTCTTCTCTCTGAGCCAGAATGCATACTTTTCTGTCATTTAGAGCCCTTCAAAATCAGGCTTCCAGGTTTATTACAGGTTGCTCTTCCCATAAACCCTGCTCCAGCCAACCTGCCCTGTTAGCTGTTCCTTAAACATGAAGTTACATTTACCATCTCTGTGCCTTTGTAAAGGTGATCCTCCATAGCTAGAACAGATGCCCTCCTCACCTTTCCCTGGTAGGATCCCATACTTCCTTCTAGGCTCAGCTCAAATACAACCTCCTTTATGGGGGAGGCCTGCCCTCTTCCTGCCAATTACTTTAGTTCCTCTATCTCCACCTTTAATTTTAAATTTACTTAGTATTTTTTTGTATTTATGTATCCATTCATATTGTTTCTTCCATAAGATTGTAAGCTCATTGAGGGCAGGTTCTGGTGAGTGGGTTTTTTTTTTTAACCTCAGAGTTTAGCAAAGTGCCAGGCATTTAGTAAACACCTAATAAATGCTTGTTGAATGAATAAATGAAAGTCAGTTAACCTCTCTGGGCCTCAGTTTCCTTATCTGTAAAGATAGAGTGTTGAATTTGATCTCTAAGATGCCTTTTATTACTAAATCTTAGGAACTTGAGCCAGGTTTTGAAGGGTGGCTGCACTGTAGATAAATAGAGGTGAGAACACACAGTGTGCTCTGGAAAACAGGTTTGGCGAGGGAGAAAGGCTTCACGTAAGCGGAAAAACTGAAAAGATAGTTTGGAGTGAGGTCATAAAGTGCCTTTATTGTCAGGCCAGAAAGTGTGGACTTGTTCCTGGCCATAGGGAGAGTCTGGCAGAGTGGGAATCATTGGAATTTCTTCAGCAGAGAACTAACATATGTCAGTCCAATTACTAAAAAACTTTCTGATAGAAATTTGGAGGTGGGGAAAATGGAAGAACAATAATAGTATATAATATTTTAAGGTTGCAAAATACTATATACTTTTAAAAATCTCATCCGTATACAACCTTGTGAGGCAGATGCTATTATCATCTGCATTTTACAGATGGGGAAACTGAGGCTTAGGTTAAAAGACTTGCCCAAGGTCACATAGCTAAGAAATTTCAAGGATGGGTTTTGAACCCAGATCTTCCCCTTTGCAAGTCCAGGGCTCTATCCACTACAAAGGTCTTTTTTGTCCCAGGATTTCTTTGTTGGGGACTTGCCTTAGATATCTACTCTCTTAAGAAAAAGAGCTAGCAGGGCAGCTAGGTGGATCAGTGGATAGAGCACTGGCCCTGGATTCACGGGGACCTGAGTTCAAATGCAGCCTCAGACACATAACACTTACTAGCTGTGTGACCCTGGGCAAGTCACTTAACCCCATTGCCTAATTAAAAAGAAAAGAAGAAAAAAAAAAGAAAAAGAGCTAGGAGTCATAGGGAGACAGAGAAATTTTAAGGGAAATGCCCTGAATTTGAGCCATTTGAGAGAGAGAGAGAGAGAGAGTATTGGGTGGGTGTCTGGGGTGGGGGTGGGGATGGTTCTGCCACTTCTTAGCTCACTAAAGCTCAGTTTCCTCCTCTGTAAAAGGAAGACTTGTACTATATACGTCATAGGCTCTTGAGGAAAAGCAACTTTTTAAACCTTAAAGCACTCTATAAATCAATTTAAATCAAATCAAAATCCAGCAAATGTTTATTAAATTCCTACAATGTACACAGTGCTTTTTACTAGGCACTAGATATACAAAGAAAAAGGGGGAAGTCTCTGCCCTCCAGGAGCTTACAATCTGCTGGGTGAGCGCAACACGTCTACAAAAAAGTATAATCAGGATAAAGATTATTGGGGTAAAAAAGAAATCTAGGCAAGGAATATTTGAGGAAGAGAGTTTCCTTTCAACTGGGAAGATCAGGGAAGGCTTCATGGAGAAAGGGGCAGGCACCTCAACTCAGCTTTGAAGAAAAAGGTTTCTGGAAGGTGGAGATTAAGGAATGCATTCTAGGGATGAGAAACAGATGCAGGTATGTGGAGGTGGGAAATTCTATGTTGAGTACAGTTTGAGTGGAACATAGAGTGAATTATATTTAACTCTGAACCTGGTGTTCTCTCGTTCTCTCTCCCTTCCCCTCCCCTCCTCTCTCTCTCCTTCCCTCCCTCCCTCCTTTCTCCATCTCTGTCTGACCCTCCATCTCCTCTTTCTCTAGCTCCTCTCTCTCCCTGTATCCCTCCCTCTCCTTTCTCCTCTTATCCCATTCTCTCTTATATCTCCCTCTGTTTCTTTGTCTTTGTCTCTCTGTGAGAATATAATTCTACTGAACCATCTCTGCTTAGCAGACTGGTACTGGATGGGACGGGAAGGTGGACTGCACCAATTCACTGCCACTTAGATCTAGGTGTATCAGAGCTGGAGAGGCTTGAGAACATAGACTCAGCACTGGGAGGGAACCTTAAAACATGGTGGCAGAGCTGGAAGGAACCTTCAAACACTTAGGAAGAGCCTTACACCATAGAATGACAGAGTTAGGAGGAACCTTACAAGAGTCAAATTGGAGGAAATCTTAGAGACAGACCATTATCATTTTACAGAGGGGGAAACTGAGGTTCAGAGAGGGGAACTCATTTTCCCAAGCTCACCCAGCAGATTTGAAGCACGTTAAGGGACTGCACCCCAGGTCTTGGGTATTCTTCACATGACACTGTCCTACTTCTGTAAGAAGTGATCTCTGAATTGCTAATCAAATAAAAGTAGAGTCTTTTTTTTTTCCTGGAAAGACTGATGGAAAAGAAGGAAGACCGGACCACACCCACGACAGAAATGTCCCCACTGGTGGTCC